GAAGTGCAGAGTGTCCTTCCTGCGAGGCTGTTTCTCCAATACCTTTAATTCTAAACGATCAGTATGCCAAAGTGGCATATTTGGGGATGACATGGTCTAAGCCCCTACAATGTGGGGTGCCCCATGTGAACAGGAAGAGGCCACCGGAATTCCAGGAAGGTTGGTGGTTGGGATATTGGTGGGCAGCGGGGAGAAGCTGACATTTCCTCACCATGAGCTTACCTGGAGGTGTTGGGAGAGAGGAGGAGGAGTGACTAATGGAGCGGAGAAGCTTTTCTCTTATGGAACTTGCTGATCTTAGCAAAGGGTTTCATGGGTAGGAGCAGAGGTTCATCTGGTTTCCTGCCTTGTGCTTGTAAACTCACAAAGAGGGTCCAATCTTTCTGGCTGTAGCAAGTAGGAAGGCGGGAATCTAATTTCTCTATTTACTCTGATTTCCGAAGAGTGGTGAGACCTATTTAGGTGCCAAACTCTTTAATTTAGACCCTCATCTGTATCTCAGAAAGGATTTAACATACCTGAATGAGGCAGGAATCGGGACACTTTGGTGTTTCCTTTTCTCTCTGCCGCGTTGAGCACACCAGTCCGCCTCTGCGTGTTTCCCATCTGTGAGAGCAAGCGCATTTTGAGCAATTACTGTATACACCAGGCACTGTTCCAGATGTTCCACTCACCTGTCTTAATTCACCTCATTCTCCCAAATTACTGTGTGATGTGTCTTTCTGGATTTGTTAGTGCAATTTCAGTCTGTTGTTCTCATACGGGCAGGATGACTTTTGGTGGCTTCTGCCATTTCAAAGAATGCTGGCTTTTCCTCTGGGTTCCAGAGGAACCAGTACCTGACGCTCCCAGCTTGAACCCCAGATTATGTCCTTGGGTTCCACTGCTGATAAGGACCTTGCCTTTGCACTTGGCTTTCCATGCTGGAAAGAAAGGGAAGTCTGCAGGAACTGGGTCCCGACGGAGAAGGGCACACACAGTGAGGATGGGGGAGTGGAACCCGAAAGACTGTCTGCCCATGTTGAATCTCTCCCCTGGCTTGGTGGCATGGGGTCATTATCCTTTCCTGGCTGGGGGTTTTTGGGGATGCTACCGACCCCTAGTCAGGATGGCTGTCAGAGAGAACTCCCGACTCAGTCAGCCTAAGAAGATCCGGCTGTGACTTCTGGTGGCTTATGTCTCATCCTCATACTCCACCCCAGCCGCAGCACCCCTAGGCTCCCTGCCCGTGAGTCTGAGTCAAGGGCAGCTCAGCAGGAGGCCCGCCCTTTATCACCCTGACCTCCTTCCATGTTGCCTGGCTCCCCTTCCCAGCTGGGGGTGGGAGGAGTGAAAGGCAAAGTAGCAGGAGCCCCGGAGTGCAGCCCTGGGGTGGACGGGTGGCACACTGGGTGGTTGCCACCAGGGCCCAGGCTCCGCCTTTTCCAGATGTCATCTGCCAAGTGCACAGCCACACTGGGCCGTGTGCATGGCCGGGGGAGGTTCAGTGTGTGAATGTGTGCCATGGGTGTGTGTGTGTGTGTGTGGTCTCTGTGTCTGTGTCATCGTGTGTCAGTTTACATAATTGTGTGTGGGTGTGTGGGTGTGTCTTCGTGAACGTGCATCCATGTGTGTCTGGGCGCGTGTGAGGGAGTGACTTGGCGTATGCCTGAGTGTGGAGTGTGTGTGTGTGAACGAGTATGGGAGTGTTTGTCTTTCTGAGTGTATGTGACATCGAGGTTGGAATGCGGAGGGTGGTGCCTCCTCCTGCCCTGAGATGTCAGGGGTGCTGGACCCCAGTCCTGACAGGGTTGACGGGTGCTGGTGGGGGACACAAAGGTCACCGAGGGTGGTGGGAGCCCTCCACGACCCGGTCCTCTCATCTCCGGCTTCTTCACAATTCCTGGAGCTTAGGGCTGTTTTTCTCCTTTACTCCCCTGGGGGCACAGGGCAATGGGGGCGGGAGGCGGGGGTAAGAGGGAGGCTCTGGGGTCTCGGATGGATGGCCCCGCCCTGGGCGCCTGGCCTGGAACGCAGGCGGAGACGACTACCAGAGTGGTCCTCAGACCACTTCCGTCCACCCCCGGGCCGCTGCACCTGCTGGGACACCTGGGGTGATTCTGCACTCGCACTCTTTCTCCTCTTGTTGCTCCACCGTGGCAGAGCTTGAAGTCTAGAGCTGTGGAGCCTAAAGAACATTCTGAGGGACACGGGACACCGCGGGGCAAGAAGCACAGCAGTCCCGTACCAAACCAAGGTCGTTCCGAAGCTGGCCCTGCCGCTGCGTGCGACCTGTGTGGAGGGTCAACCGCTTGCCCTTGGAGCTTCGGGTTTGTCATTTACAGCCCGGGGGGAGTGGCGGGGAACAGCACCCACCTCACAGGGGATGCGCGGATTCCCTGGAGCGCTGTGCGAGGCGCAGGGTGGGGGGGTTACTGCACCAACGCCCCTCCAGCGCGAACGTGGTTCATTGTCATGAATCGATGTAGGAGCGAAGGCCCCCGGCAGATCCATTTACCTGCTGAATCCGACCTGTAAGGGGAACCCCGATGGAAAGGCAGGCCCAGCGGCCGGGGAACAGCTCGCACACCGGATGGGAGCCCAGACCCCGGGATGGCCAGTGACGCGGGTGACCTCAGTGACGGAGGTCCGGTGCCCCGTCGGTTCTGGTGACTCCCTGGGGACCCGGGCCGGGAGAGCGGTTTGGCGGACCACCAGTCCCCGCTCCCTTTGCAAATGGCACTTTCAGTTCTCCGGTTACCAGCCGGGAGGGGAGCCAGGGCCAGTGTGCGCACGCTGCCCGGGGTCCTGCGGTGGCCGGGACGCTCGCGGCTCCTGGCGCACGCCCCACCGGCGGGGCGGACTGGAGCAGCGGGGGTCGGGGAGGAGTTGCAGCGGCATCCGCCGCGCTCCCCGCGGTCGCTGGCTCTCCGACACTCCGCCTGGCTGGGGCCGGGAGAATTTGCCGACGGTGCCCGCGGCGCGGCGGGCCCTGGCCCCGCCCCATTCCCCGCCCCCTGCCGGCGCCCCGCCCCTGGCCCCGCCCGCGCCGGCCCGCTGTCCGGGCCCCGCCCCGGGCCGCGCCCCTCCGCTGCTGCCCCGCTCGCCGGCTCCGCGCCGCGGGCCTGCCCTCAGGCCCCCGCGGGCTCGGCGCTGCCGCCGGGAGGCTCGCGTAGCTCCGGGACCCGCCCGCCGCGTCCCCTGGGCAACCGTCTCCAGGGAGATCGGGCCCCGCCCCCGGCACCGACACCCGGTACGGAGCCCACCTGTGCGGGCGTCTGCGGGGTCCCAGTGCCCCCCTGCGCACACCCGCCCCGCCCAGCGCCCGGCTTTGTCCGCCTGGGGCGGTCGGGGTCCAGGGGCGTGGGGGCTGGGGGAGGCGCGCGCGTCCCGGCGCGGACCGGACGCTGCCGGGGAGGCCGAGGCAGGGGGCCGCGCTCGCGTTGTGAGTCCCGGGTGTGGGCTGGTTCATGCTCTCCCGATCTCCGTGCATCCCTTTTGTGCCTCCGGGGGGCGGGGATCCGGGGTGTCCCGCTGCCGCCCTTGATGGGATGAGCAGGGCCCTCAGCCGGGCTCCGGACGTGGACGCGCCTGTTCAGGGCAGGCTGTTTACTTGTCAGGGACCCAGCAGTTGCCGCGCGCATCCTCCCCTCCCCCTGTCCCCGATTCGGGACAGAGCATCCTGCGCTGTGTCGGTTCCTGGCGTTGCCTCCCAAGCTTTGCCCTTGAACCCAGAGGGCTAGAGGGCGGGCGACCCAGATCCCGAGGTCCTGGGCGGCAGGAGGGCCAGAGCCGAAGACGCACCTTCCTCCGGGGAGAGCCTCCTCCTCGGCCGCCCTCTTGTGAATTCTGCCCCAGCTCCCTGTTTCCTGACCTGAATTCCTGAGGACTAATTCCTTCTTGCTTTCCCTAACTCTTCCTTCTCTTGGCTCCATCATGTTTTCTGCTTTGTCTTCGCTCGTTTTGAAAGTGTTTTCTCTATAATCGTGTCTCGTTTCCCTGTAACCGAACTGCTGGGTTTGTCCTCTTGTTAATAACTCCAGTGGTCAGCAGTGGAAGTTCGTTCCCGCAGCTCCTGGCGCTGACCTCTCATTTCCCTTGCTCTCCTCTCCTGAATGCTGGGTGAAGAGACCATCCAAGCCCCCGTTCCTGGGCTCCGGCAGCAGGGTCCATCGGGTATCCTGCCCGGGATTCGGCTCTCAGCAGCGAGAATTCCAGCCCGGTCCCTGGGAACTGTATTCTTGGAAGGGACACCTTTTCCAACGGCTTCCCAGCAGTGGGCTTTTTACTTGCGGCGAAGCAAATGATTTAGGCTTCCCTGCTCTTCAGAAGCCCTCCCAGCCTTGCCCAGTGGGCTCCCGCTGCGGAGGTAGCTGTGCCCGGGGCCTGTGGTCTGGAGAAAGGGGCGGGTCTTACTCGTAGCATCCAGCCTGCTGGGCTTCCGGAGCTCAGGTGTCTTCCTGTCTCTGGGGTCAGATTATTTACTGGAGTGGCGGGCAGTGGGGGGAAAGAAACTCCAGGGATGCGGTAGTGGGAGGCCCTTCTCTCCACACACCCGCCCTTTCCCTCTCCTGCAAGCAGGGATGAATCTGCCTGTATGATGCAATTTAGTACTTAAATGGGGAACTCAAGTCCAGGAATCTGCTTTTCCTATCCCTTGAATGGAACTTGAACCCAGGCTTGACACAGACCATTACACTTTGCCTTCAAAAAACCAAACAAAACCAACGAATAACTAAGCATGATCCGAGGTATATACCTATATATTTCTGTCATGAAATGCTCCGCTTTGCTTCCGTACCACTAAAGGAGCTGGGGTGGCGGTGACCTGGGTGGTGAGAAGGGCCCATCAAGCAGAATGTGACTGGTTTGCGAAATGAGAGCCTAAGTGAAACAGTTATTTTTGAGCTAAAGTCCTGTGAAGGAATGCATAGAAGTTTTGGGGAGACTTTCTCCTTTAAAAATTTCATTCATTCATTCTTTCTTTCTTTCTTTCTTTCTCCCCCCCCACCCCTCCCCAGACAGATAAGGAGCTCAGAGTGAGGCAGGGGCGGAATGGTGCTCATTGATTCCAAAGCATCTTTGATCTGCCAGCCAGAGGGGCCTTTGCTGCTGGTCTTTCTTGGACCATTCCAGAGAGGTAGGTTGGGTGAAGGAGACAAGTGTGTGGGAAAGAAGAGATGTGATTTTGTAGACAGCTTAAGAATTTGAACAGACTCCATCCTCCCTGACCAGCCAAAGGAGAAGCTCTCTGACTTCTGATCTAGGACTAGATCATGCAGAGGAAGAGAATGACCCAGATGTGTGCTATGAGCCAACGAAGGGAAATGAACTAGACCTGGGCCGGCTCCCCAGGAGAGGGATACTGCTGCCTGTGAAGGGAGGGGGGAGGCTCTGCTCCCAGGAACCCTGGGGCTCATTACTAAGCTATTTGACTTGCTTCAGTCATGGTAGAGTTGGGCTGGCCTTTTTGGGGAGAGAAAAATGAAAACTTCCATCCAAAGGGAATGGAGTGAATTCTTACAACTTGGCATTGCTTCTCAAAGACTTCTTAGGTAGGGACATTCTGTCTCTCCAGAGAGTTGGCAGTTGCTGTATCAGTAAGGCAGTGCTCGTTAGAACTCCCTGGGTGTTCGCTGGGAGATGGATGCAGTCCGTTCTTGGTGCAAATGAAGAAACTGAGGCCAGAGACTGATACTGGCCAAGCATTGGCTTTGCTGTCTGGATGCTTGAGCAGCTCCTGTCATTTCTGATGGAAAGGAGCCCAGGCTTACAACCTGGGGGCATCCTTGGAAGCTTCCCCCACCCCCGCCCCACCCCAACCTCATTTTCTCTAGATCTTCATCAGTACTTTCTGAACTTCTTTGTTAGTGTGGCTCTCTTTAAAAAGCTCAAGGTATTAAAACAGAGTTTTGACCTATAGAGTCGAGTGGCCTGTGGTCCAGGCAGAGACTGGCTTAGGATGTCTACTCAGCATCCTGTCCCATTTCCGCCACCCTCTGAAGATCTTGGGGTTGCTTCTGTGGAACCCCAGAACTCTGGAACATAGTTAAAAACCATGGATTGTGTAGACCTCTGTTGGGGGATTGGAGTTTCTTCTGTACATCTGTTGACCTATTTGCAGTATCTTGATTCTCTCTCTCTTTTTTAAAGATGTATTTGTTTGTTTGAGAGAGGGAGAGAGAGAACACGGGTACAGGGGAAGGGACAGAGGGAGAGGGAGAATCCCAAGCAGACTCCGTGCTGAGCGTGGAGCCTGATGCAGGGCTCGATCGCATGACCCAGAGATCATGACCTGAGCCAAAACCAAGAGTCATATACTTAACTGACTGAGCCACCCAGAGGCCCCAACAGTATCTTGAGTCTTGTTTCAGCAGATGTCTTTTAATAATTTTTAACCCTCATACTTTGTCATTTATTAAGAAATGCCCACTTATTGTTGAAAGTTTGCCCCCCAACTTGGCATAACCCATTGTCCCCTAACCACCCCCGAGGGAACCACTGTTTCCTTGAAGGGGTATCCTCCCCCAAGTCCCCCAGAAAACCTCCTATATGCCTATCTTTGGAAACTTACTTTTTATGTATTGTTAAATGTTACTATGAACTTCCATGAAAATACGACTAATTGAATGCATATGTTTCTCCTGGCTCTGTTTCAAAAGCCCACTAAAATGAGAGTAAGGGATTAAAAAAGGACAAAATTCTTAAGAAAACAGAAAAGGAAATGATGGAGGAGGAGGAGGAGTAAGCAAATACTTTGAGAAACAGAAAGCAGGTTGGTAAAAGAGATGGTAAAACTTAAAGTCTTGAATGTCCTGTGTCATGGTAGAGGAAGGCAGGTGTGTTCAAGGACCCACCAAAGGCCCAAGAGTGGGAGCTACAGTGTTCCTGATGACGGACTGCGGGGTGGGCTGGAAGCAGGAAAATTGAAGGTATGTGTCGGAGCAACAGACCCCTCTCTCAGCCCACATAGTCAGGTGGCTCCCTCCTCCATCCCAGCGGAAGATGCCTGTTTTCCCAGAGGCCTCGTTGAACCAGAGCAGCTCAGGCCTAGACTGGAGTGGAAGGAGGCGTGGGATCAGCTGAATGTAAGAGGCACTGTATTGAAAACAGAAAGATTCAATGAAAGTTGGTATCCTAAACAGTGAGACCTTTTCCTGCTTAGCTCCCAGAACATGGCAGCCTAATCTATACCCTTCTCTGGTTGGGGCCTGGAAGAACTTCTCTCTGAGGAAATGGAGCTCACAAGAAAAAATGACCCCCAAAGACTAACATTGGAGGGACCCTCTTGGAAAGCTTGCTTGTTGCTTTGTCATTTCACAATGATGCCTGCCAAGCAACTAGCCTTTATCTGTGCACAGACAGCTCTGAGTGCCTCTCTTAAGTTTGAATGGACACCTGTGGATCATCCCACATAGAATGACGTTCCTAGCATGAAATACAGAGACCCAAATGAACAAAAAATGGGCCAGAAGTCATAAACATGGTTGTTGAGAAACAAATACTCATGAAACAACAGTAGGCTCTGGGATATAAAAACTGTGATGATAGAGGTTTGTGGCTGGCTCAGTCCAGAGCGTATGACTCTTGATCTCAGAGTTGTGAGTTTGAGCCCCATGTTGGGTATAGAGATTGCTTAAAAATAAATTTTTTTTTTAATACTTTGTTTATTTGACAGAGAGATGGAGAGAGAGCACAAGCAGAGCTGCAGGGAGAGGGAGAAGGAGGCTCTCTGCCCAGCAGGGAACCCGATGTGGGCTCTGTCCTAGGACCTCGGGATCATGACCCGAGCGGAAGGCAGCCACTTAACTAACTGGGCCACCCAGGTGCCCCTAAAAACAAAATCTTAAAAAACAAACAAACAAACAAACAAAACAGCAACTAATAGTAGATGCAAAGATCTCAATAGAATAGAGCTAGAGGGCACCTGGGTGGCTCAGTTGGTTGAGCGACTGCCTTCAGCTCAGGTCGTGATCTTCAAGAGTCCTGGGATCGAGTCCCATATCCGGCTCCCAGCTCCATGGGGAGTCTGCTTCTTCCTCTGACCTTCTCCCCTCTCGTGCTTTCTCTCACTCTCTGTCTCTCTCTCTCAAATAAGTAAATAAAATCTAAAAAATAAAAAAAAGAATAAAGCTAGAGATTGAAAAGTGAATTTCTATGAAATAAAACAAAAAGACTTAAGAGATGGAGAATAAGAAAGAAAATATAAGAAAACTGGAGGATCAGTTCAGGACTCCTGCTATCCACCTCAGAGGAACTCAAGACAGAGAGAAAAATGAAGAAAAAGAAGTTACCAAGCTATAGGAAAAAAATTCTAGAACTGAAGGAACTTCCGTATGAAGAGTATCTGAGTAGAATTCAACAATGAGTAATAGAAGTAATAGTAGAATTCAACATTGAGTAATAGAAGTAATAGTAGAACTCAACAATGAGTATGGAAAGTATCTGAGTAGAACTCAACAATGAGTAATGGAAGTAATAGTAATAGTAATACTAAACAAAAGTAAAGTGTGTACTACAGGACGTCATCATGAACTTTCAAAACTCCAGCGATAGAACTTGCCAAAAGCCAACAAAGAGAAAAGGGGCCACATCTAGAAGATCAGATAAAAAATGGCACTGGACTTCACAAAAGCAGCACCAGAAGCCACAAGACAATGGAGCAACTCTTTCAAATTTCCAAGGGAAATTAATTACCGGGCGAGAATTCTGTAATTGTCATTCAAGCAAAATAATAGCATAAAGGCACCTCTGTAGGTGTGAATTTTCCAAAGCTCAGTGTGTGCGCACGCATGCACGTACACACGCCTTTGTATCGCTATTCAAGGAAACTCATGGAGACGGTACCCTACGAAAAAGAGAGTCAACTAAGAAAGTGGAACAAGTGATACAATATGTGATTGTCTCTTGTTCTTATTTGCCTCCGTTCCCAAATAGCTTTCAGTATTTCAGCTGTTACCTTACTTTGAGTTTTCCAAGTGCAGAGGAAAAATCCAAACACCTACCCAACCACGGGAACTGAAAAGTACTGACTTCTAAGCTTTCCCTGTAGCCGGGGCCCGTGACCTAGACTCCATGGATGAGTGCACCCATGCTGTATTTTGGCAGAGGAGAGGGTTGAAGCATGTGCTGTACCGTGGTTATGGCCCTGGCAGCCATGATGTGCTCCAAGGTCAACTTGCTGGCACGGACATGGCCGAGGTACCAATTGGCATTTAGTATCAGTGGCAGTAGGGGCAGTTCCGCCATCAGACCTGCATTGGGGAGTCCAGTGTACCAGGTTCTGTTTCTTTTTTGGTTCAGCTTTCTGTTTTTCCTGGAGTTGATAAGCACCTCCTCGTCTCTTTATTTGCTATGTTCGCAATGTACTAATCACCAATTCTTCCTCAAACCCTCCAACAGAGCTGTGAAACTCCTCACAGTGCAGCAAATAAGCCAAATGATCTGTCAGCAACTTTTCTGCTTAATCAGTGAGAGCTGGCTTCTTTACTTGCAGCCCAGAACCTTGACGGGTGGAGAGAATGGTGAGAATTCCCATCATCACGGTGAAGCAAAGTCCCAGTGGTGCAACTGCACAGCCCATGTAGAGCTCAGCCAGGCGAGTTTGGAGCAGTATGGCTGAGGGCACCAGGAGGGATATCTTCAAGAAAAAAAAAAAAATGAAGCTGGTGGATTATTGGACGTGTTTACCATATTAGGAAGAGTTTCATAGTTCTGTTACAGAGTTGGGGGAAGAATTACGTATTTGCATATATAAAACAAAGAAATTAGATTTGTACATAGAAAATGAAGCAAATTATAAGTGAGGCAACTATCAACTATAGAAATAACAAAAAGTTGAATAAGAAGGAAATAAAACCAGAATATACTATGTGGTTTAGTGTTAAACACTGTTTATGTAGTCATAATAATGTAAGCACTTAAGTTTTTGTTTTTTTTTAGATTTTATTTACTTATTGAGGGAGGGAGAGGGAGAGGCAGACTCCCAGCTGAGCAGGGAGCCCGATGCGGGGCTCGATTCCATGACCCTGGGATCATGACCTGAGCTGAAGGCAGACGCTTAACCCACTGAGCCACCCAGGTGCCCACAAGTTTGATTAACAAAAAAATTAACACGTAGCTATGTTCAGAAGATGGAGA